GGAAGCTGGAGGCAGGGACGGGGCTGATAGGGCTGCAAGCCAGGGAACACCAAGGGCTCACAGGCGCCGTCAGAAGCTGGAGGAGGCAAGCGGGCCTCCCACCCAGGGACTCTGAGGGAGCACCGCTGACGCCTCTATTTTGGACTTCTGGCCTCCAGAGCTGTGTGAGGACACATTTCTATGGTTTCAAGCCACCCAGTTCATGGTCCTTCGTTACTGCAGCCCCAGGAAACTAATACAGGGGGAAGGAGGGTCCAAGGAAACAGGCTGATGGAGGCAGCCAGGAGAGGGCTCTGACAGCCCCAACTCACCTGCACTGTAGACCCGGCTTTGTGATGCAGTCCCTGGCTGGCCCCCCAGGGTGGGCAGGATACGCAAGGCCCAGGACCCCGGGTTCTGAGAAGGGAGGGGCACCACGGCTGATCGGTCCTGAGGCCCCAGGATGAGCAAGGAGACCCAGTCCTGGTAGGTAGTGGCTCTGCCCGGGTCAGGCCTCTCGGGCCGTGCCTGAATCTCAAAACCACTGATCAGGGCCCCACGCTCCACATCCCAAGTCAGCACCACTGCATCCTGGGCTCTCTGCAGCCTCCATGAGGAGATGGACGGTCCTGGAGGGATCAAGATGGGGGGCGGGATTTGTGGGTCCCAGATGGGAGAGGGAAGGGGGCTTCGCACCTGGACTCATAAGTCCCAGGGAAAGAGGACCTGAAGACCCAGACTTTGGTGCCTATGAGAAGGGGCTGGAGGCCTGGGCTCCTGGGTCTGAGGGAGGAGGGGCTGGGGGCCTGGACTCCTGGGTCTGAGGGAGGAGGGGCTGGGGGCCTGGACTCCTGGGTCTGAGGGAGGAGGGGCTGGGGGCCTGGACTCCTGGGTCTGAGGGAGGAGGGGCTGGGGGCCTGGACTCCTGGGTCTGAGGGAGGAGGGGCTGGGGGCCTGGACTCCTGGGTCTGAGGGAGGAGGGGCTGGGGGCCTAGACTCCTGGGTCTGAGGGAGGAGGGGCTGGGGGCCTGGACTCCTGGGTGTGAGGGAGGAGGCGCTGGGGGCCTGGACTCCTGGGTCTGCGGGAGGAGGGGCTGGGGCCTGGACTCCTGGGTCTGCGGGAGGAGGGGCTGGGGCCTGGACTCCTGGGTCTGAGGAAAGAGAGAACCAGAGGACCTGAATTTTGGGTTCTGGGGAAGGACAGAACTCACCAGTAAGGGTGATCTGGTCGCCCCCAGCACCCAGCACCCCACTGCACAGCACGGAGTAATTTCCTAGGTCCCAGTCAAGGCTGAAGTTGCCAATGAGGAGCCTCCGCCCATCCTGGCTGAGCCTCAGGCGCCCCCCGCCGCCTCCGGAGACCAGGGGCCGCCCTTCCCGGGCCCAGGATGCTCGTGAAGGTGGCTGACAGCCCGAGGCCTCCAGCGCCACCTCTGCCTCCCCCGGCCGTGTCTCCTCCACTACTGGATGCAGGAGCACCTCTCGGGGGGCCTCTGCAGGTGCAAGAAACGTAGTCAGGAAAGTCAAGACCTTGCCCCAAAGTCAAAGAACAAGTCCTGTGCCCTTTGGTGAATCCAGACATGGAAACCTCAGCGCCTTAGTTAAGCGAGGAAACGCCATCCGTTCACTTTCTCCCTCCCTCATTCAGCATCTGAATCCGTAACGAAGACTTAAGTAGACTATGGGCCAGGTCCTGGGCTGGGAAAGCCGCGTTGTTCTCAACCATTTATTGCTCAAAGGAGCTAAGAAATACCCCGCCCTCCTCAGGACAGAGAAAAGACGTCCCACCCGCTCTCACCTGGGGTGACAGTGCAGGTGCGCGTGGTCACCAGGTGGCGAGCCAGACAGGTGACGGGGACGCCGCTGAGCCGAGGGTGGGCGGGGACAGCCGCCAGGAGCACGGAGTGCGCGGGCCCCGCGCGGACGCCGTCGGGGAGACCCTGGAACTGCAGGGAGGCGGCGGGGACCCCACCGGGCCACCAGCAGCGGAAGCGAAGGCTGCGGTCCCCGGGACCCCCTTCGACGGAGCACTGTGGGGCCCCGGGGGGCGGATCTGTGAAGCGCAG